GCAATATTTCAACAATGTAACCGCTGACTCACCTTGTCCTCTCTTCAGCAATATGTCAACAATGTAACTGCTGACTCACCTTGTCCACTCTTCAGCAATATTTCAACAATGTAACTGCTGACTCACCTTGTCCGCTCTTCAGCAATATTTCAACAATGTAACTGCTGACTCACCTTGTCCACTCTTCAGCAATATTTCAACAATGTAACTGCTGACTCACCTTGTCCGCTCTTCAGAAATATTTCAACAATGTAACTGCTGACTCACCTTGTCCACTCTTCAGCAATATTTCAACAATGTAATCGCTGACTCACCTTGTCCGCTCTTCAGCAATATTTCAACAATGTAACCGCTGACTCACCTTGTCCACTCTTCAGCAATATTTCAACAATGTAACTGCTGACTCACCTGGTCCACTCTTCAGCTATTTTTCAACAATGTAACCGCTGACTCACCTTGTCCGCTCTTCAGCAATATGTCAACAATGTAACTGCTGACTCACCTTGTCCGCTCTTCAGAAATATTTCAACAATGTAACCGCTGACTCACCTTGTCCGCTCTTCAGCAATATGTCAACAATGTAACTGCTGACTCACCTTGTCCGCTCTTCAGCAATATTTCAACAATGTAACTGCTGACTCACCTTGTCCGCTCTTCAGCAATATCTCAACAATGTAACTGCTGACTCACCTTGTCCACTCTTCAGCAATATTTCAACAATGTAACCGCTGACTCACCTTGTCCACTCTTCAGCAATATTTCAACAATGTAACTGCTGACTCACCTTGACCGCTCTTCAGCAATATTTCAACAATGTAACCGCTGACTCACCTTCTCCACTCTTCAGCAATATGTCAACAATGTAACTGCTGACTCACCTTGTCCACTCTTCAGCAATATTTCAACAATGTAACTGCTGACTCACCTGGTCCACTCTTCAGCTATATTTCAACAATGTAACCGCCGACTCACCTTGTCCGCTCTTTAGCAATATGTCAACAATGTAACCACTGACTCACCTTGTTTGCTCTTCAGCAATATGTCAACAATGTAACTGCTGACTCACCTTGTCCACTCTTCAGCAATATTTCAACAATGTAACCGCTGACTCACCTTGTCCGCTCTTCAGCAATATGTCAACAATGTAACTGCTGACTCACCTTGTCCACTCTTCAGCAATATTTCAACAATGTAACCGCTGACTCACCTTGTCCACTCTTCAGCAATATGTCAACAATGTAACCGCTGACTCACCTTGTCCTCTCTTCAGCAATATGTCAACAATGTAACTGCTGACTCACCTTGTCCTCTCTTCAGCAATATGTCAACAATGTAACCACTGACTCACCTTGTTTGCTCTTCAGCAATATTTCAACAATGTAACTGCTGACTCACCTTGTCCGCTCTTCAGCAATATGTCAACAATGTAACTGCTGACTCACCTTGTCCACTCTTCAGCAATATTTCAACAATGTAACTGCTGACTCACCTGGTCCACTCTTCAGCTATATTTCAACAATGTAACCGCCGACTCACCTTGTCCGCTCTTTAGCAATATGTCAACAATGTAACCGCTGACTCACCTTGTCCACTCTTCAGCAATATTTCAACAATGTAACTGCTGACTCACCTTGACCGCTCTTCAGCAATATTTCAACAATGTAACCGCTGACTCACCTTCTCCACTCTTCAGCAATATGTCAACAATGTAACTGCTGACTCACCTTGTCCACTCTTCAGCAATATTTCAACAATGTAACTGCTGACTCACCTGGTCCACTCTTCAGCTATATTTCAACAATGTAACCGCCGACTCACCTTGTCCGCTCTTTAGCAATATGTCAACAATGTAACCACTGACTCACCTTGTTTGCTCTTCAGCAATATTTCAACAATGTAACTGCTGACTCACCTTGTCCACTCTTCAGCAATATTTCAACAATGTAACCGCTGACTCACCTTGTCCGCTCTTCAGCAATATGTCAACAATGTAACTGCTGACTCACCTTGTCCACTCTTCAGCAATATTTCAACAATGTAACCGCTGACTCACCTTGTCCACTCTTCAGCAATATGTCAACAATGTAACCGCTGACTCACCTTTGTCCTCTCTTCAGCAATATGTCAACAATGTAACTGCTGACTCACCTTGTCCTCTCTTCAGCAATATGTCAACAATGTAACCACTGACTCACCTTGTTTGCTCTTCAGCAATATTTCAACAATGTAACTGCTGACTCACCTTGTCCGCTCTTCAGCAATATGTCAACAATGTAACTGCTGACTCACCTTGTCCACTCTTCAGCAATATTTCAACAATGTAACCGCTGACTCACCTTGTCCACTCTTCAGCAATATGTCAACAATGTAACCGCTGACTCACCTTGTCCTCTCTTCAGCAATATGTCAACAATGTAACTGCTGACTCACCTTGTCCTCTCTTCAGCAATATGTCAACAATGTAACCACTGACTCACCTTGTCCGCTCTTCAGCAATATGTCAACAATGTAACTGCTGACTCACCTTGTCCGCTCTTCAGCAATATTTCAACAATGTAATCGCTGACTCACCTTGTCCACTCTTCAGCAATATTTCAACAATGTAATCGCTGACTCACCTTGTCCACTCTTCAGCAAAAAAATAGCAAAACAGTATTTAAGTCGTTAGGTACGATGCAACGCTATATGCTAAACCAACACATCGATCTTAGTGCTAAGATGATTGTAGCTCCCATTCCTCATGATCAGCATTGGCTTATGATAGTATTCTACAGTATTATAAACATGTTTTAAGCTAGTCCAGATATAATAGCTTCCAACCTCATGCTGCAACAGGGAGGCATAATACACTGTACTGTAATAGACTCTGTTTATATTGCTATACCAGTAGTTGAAGAGGAATACCATTTAAACTGTCAATGTTTAAAAAATGCATAAGATAGAATGTTTTCCACCTTACCTATATATTGGTAACCTGTGTAAGATAGTCTTGTTAGACTTGTGTCATCTAAGGATGATGTTTTGATAAGTGTTGCTACTTTTTTCTTTAGAAGGGTATATTATGCCTGTACATTGTGCTAAAATGTTTTCAGAGCTTTCAGAGGCAAAATTAGAAATGCATAAATCTCAGTCAATATTCTACACATTAAGATCTATATGTTATTTCTTAGATATGTTATGCCTATACACTATGCAAATATGTCAGACACTTTATAAAGCAAATTACAACATACTGTCACTTTATGACACTTGTGTAAATTGAAAGATATATTCTACAGTATTATAAACATGTTTTAAGCCAGTCCAGATATAATAGCTTCCAACCTCCAACTGTAACAGGGAGGCATAATACTGCTATATTGCTATACCAGTAGTTGAAGATGAATACCATTTAAATTGTCAATGTTTAAAAAATGCATCAGATAGAATGTTTTCCTCTTACCTATATATTGGTAACCCGTGTAAAGATAGTCTCGTTAGACTTGTCATCTAAGGATGATGTTTTGATAAGTGTTGCTACTTTTTCCTTAGTAGGGTATATTACACAAATGTTTTCACAGCTTTCAGAGGCAATAATGTATGACCATTACTGGTTTTACCAGCATCAAACCAAAATGTAAAAATATTCTGTAATGTGGGCCATGGCCTTGTATACTGAAAATAAATCTGTCTGTCTGTCTGTCTGTCTATAAAAGTAGCAGTGCTAAGCGAGGCCCAGGGCGCCGAGCGTCCCTCAACATGCCCATCCACATCAAGAATTGGCAACATTCCTTAGTTATCCCCCTTTACCACTTCACCACTAGACGGCGCCAATTAAAGTTCTTGATAATATGTCTAAAACGGTTTGAGCGTATGTCTGATGCCTATCTGGTCCATAATGGTGTATCATTTTTCTGCCCCCATCATGGCACTTTCACCGCCGTATCTATTAACTGCACGAATACAGTGTCGAGTGTAGCGTTCATTTCTCCGTCGGTAGACACGCATCCTACGTTCATGGCGATACAGCAAGAACCGCGACTCATCACTAAACCAGATCCTCCTCCAGTGCACTAGGGTCCATGGTCGAACGTTTCTGCTCCATTGGAGACGATGATGATGCCGCAGAACAGGCGCTATGGTCGCATTGGTCGTATCCCATGCTGTCGTAGGCGATTTCTGATGGTTTGCGCTGATACTCCACGAAGCCCACGACTGACTGACTGACTGAGTTTGGTTTTACGCCGCTTTTAGCAATATTCCAGCAACATCACGGCGGGGGACACCAGAAATGGGCTTCACACATTGTACCCATGTGGGGATTCGAACCCGGGTCTTCGGCGTGACAAGCCAACGCTTTAACCATTAGGCTACCCCACCGCCCACGAAGCCCACGAAGCTGTGTATGCCACACTGTAGTTGCGCAGATGCAACACCCCGGATGAAGCGGTCCTGGGCCGGAGTTGTGACCTTTGGTCGACCAGTTCTCGGTCGATCTCTTGTAGAGTTGTGGAGTCTGTAGCGCTGCCACAGACGGGATATGGTACTCACGTCGAAGTGCTTGGCTACTGATGACTGACATTCTCCAGCTTCCAGACGTCCAATGGCTCTGTTTCTACAGTCTGCTTTCAGTCTTGGCATCTTGAAGGTCGCTTATACGGAACAGCTTAGAGTGATTCGCAACGGGACTGTCAGATTTTTATACCCACCGGTATGAAGCTTTAGTACCCGTATTTACACGTGTAACATGCTAACAGCTTTTACTACATGCGATTTCTCCCAGTTTTAATTCAAGGTGCTGTATTTTAGCGACAGTTCACCAAATGTTGCGTTCGTGTGCAATGAATTAGTGTAAGGGCTGTATTCACAGTTAGCAATGACATTTATATTGATTTCAAGCCTTCATCTTAAAAACATCCTACTTTTAGCTATGTGTTTCTTTTTTTGCCCAGTATATTTGGGAAGAACAGGCTCACGTCATTTATTCTACCAAACGCATTCGTTCTTCTCTCTGTTTCCAGTGTTCCTTCCAGTGGCCTGGTCCACGACTTGCACTGACTGCAAGACAGAGTATGGCACAGCCAAGACTAATGCGAGCTCAGACAACACTGTAAAATGCACGTGAGTGAAGTCGTTGTCGCATATTGTGTATATTTCATGGAGCTTGTATATTTGTTGGTTGGTTGGTTAACGCCGCACTCAACAATAGTCCAGCTATATGGCGGCGATCTGTAAATAATCGAGTCTGGACCAGACAATCCAGGGATCAACAGCATGAGCATCGATCTACGCAATTGGGATACGATGACAAGTGTAAACCACGTCAGCGAGCCTGACCACCCGACCCCGTTAGTCGCCTCTTATGACAAGCATGGGTTACTGATAACCAATTCTAACCCGGATCTTCACGGGTTGGTATATGTGTTGATACAAGGAGAGATATACATGTATAGTAATTAGCTTGTCTGTCACGGATCAGTTTTAGTTTTAGTCAATAACTAATAGGTAGTTTTTATGAAACTTTGCTCACGCAAAGGCCAGGTTGTCAACTGCTGCCTTTCGCTAAAGAGGAAATTTTATTTATGCTTTTTCATGGTAATAGTTGGATTTTTGACCTTATCGCCGCAACTAACACGTATTCTTTTATAACACTTTTCTTGAACAAAGAATAGGTAGTCATCTTGTACCCTTTGCTAGTTAGGAAGAAAATCCATGACAACAAATTACATCCTAATTAATCGGTATTCTCTTGGTAGCTCAGTACCAAGGTTGTATGCGGACAATTCGACAGGACTACTCTCATCACGTTGGACTGATCATTCTTATATGACTTGCTGTATCAATCAGATGATTTGTTTCTTTTCTGTTTGTGGGAGCGGTGTGATTTGTCAGCCTCTGCTTAGTCTTGTTTATTGTTGCTGTCTTTGGGGCGAAGGGGTAGCCTAGTGGTTAAAGCATTTGCTCGTCACGCCGAAGACCTGGTCCCGATTTCTCGACAAACTTAAGTCGGAGTTTTGACTTAAGTTAGAGTTTTTACTCAAATTTGAGAAAATGCATTTCCCAGAATGAACTAAAATCGATAATAAACTCAAACATAGTGGACAATTTGAGTTTGGTGGATAGATTACTTAAGATGTTTGGGCTCTTTTATTTAAAAAATGCAGTTGAGTTTAAAATTCAGCTGTTTCAAATTGTCAAATTCAGTTTGAAATTTGAGTAAAAACTTAAGTTTGTTTCGAGAAATCGGAGCCAGGCCCCGGTTTTTCGAAACAATTTTAAGTTTTTTATTCAAACTGAGTTTGACAATTTGAAACAGCTGAATTTTTTATATTGCTTGAAAATTACTAAAAGCGTCGTAAAACCATACTCACTCACCCACTGTAGCTCGCTGGTGTTTATGACGAAGGAACAATGTTTAGGGTCACCTGCAAGCTGCTTCGCCCGCAACGACTTCTGTCGTGCAGAGAAAACAATGTTGTAACGATCACCCTCATGAGGTTTCGAAATTATGAAAACATCAGAGTCATTCAGGCGGTATAAACACACAAAGGAACAATCTGACTATGCTTGTCGATAGAGGCGGTTAAATGGGGTTGGGTCAAGCTCGGAAAAAGGGTTGATCTTTACATCCGGGTTACAAACACTTGGTCTTCAGCAATGTTCGTGCATGTTGCTACTATCGTGATAATCGTAATTCCATTACTACGATTGATGCTCTTGATGTCAGTCTCACAGAGGCTTGTAACGTTAAAACTGCCATCAAGGTATGTACTGGCACTAACGTGGATCCTTTTATATAGCGCTAAGTGTGGTCAGTCTGTGGCCCACAATCGATTACTTACATATCGCCGTCATACAGCTGGTCTTTGCAATATTCGAATTGCATATCTTAGTAAATGACCAGTAGTTGTACCTTGTGTTCTAGTGTCCTCAGCTCCTACCTGACTTGTCTCGGGACCTCAGCTAAAGGTGATGCCGGTTGTCCACTACCAACTGATGACGCAGCCGCAATCGAAACAGATTACACGAACGCCAGTTGCTGTAAGTTCCAAGCCATGTTTGTTTGTTTGTTGTTTAACGCTGCACTCAGCAATATTTCAGTATTATTATGGCACCCTGTGAATAATCGGGTCTGGTCTAGTCAATCCAGTGATTGACGTCATGAGCATCGATCTACGCAATTGGGTTCTGTTGACATTTATTTATCAGGTCAGCGAGTCTGACCACCATATCCCCTTAGTCGCCTCTTACGACAAGCATGGGTTGCTTCTAACGCTTAATGTCTCCCAAGACATGTGAAAATATCTGATGATGGCGATGGCAAGGGTGGAATATGTAGTTTTACAGTCTTGGGATGATTCAGCTTCTGTATGGAATGAATAGTTTCCTAAGACCACGTCCATTTTCCTGTTACAGCGTCCACTGACACCTGTGTCTGTCAGAAGACGTTCTGGGCGACTGCTCAAGCCGATGACGCTGCTACCTGCATGTGAGGAGACCAATAGACTAGAGCGAACAGTATTTCTTTCTAAGATGCCAAATTTAATACTTTCTGAGGGTAATTACGATTAATCTAAGGCAGAAAACACACAACGGTGTCGGTGATCTAAATTAATAATCCTCGCACAGGGCTAACTGGCGCGCTGTTCTATTGATGTGTCTTTCCCCCCCGAACGTTACCAGAAAATACAAATGATAAACAGTTTGATGACGGTTTACGTTCGGATTAAGAATCTTCTCTAAATTATTTTAATTACATCTGTGATGAACGTAAACCATATGGGGCAATATGAACGTCGCATTTCTACTACCAACGTAAGTTTAGATCAGTTCATCCAGATGAAGCTGAGTAGTCAAGCCACATTCCACGATTGCATTGTGGGAATGTAAACATTGCGAACGTTATCGTGTCGCTGAAAACTTGTGAGTCGAATTGAGATATTTTAAATAGGGCTTCCACGGGTACTCGAGTACCCGTGGACGAGTCGGGTCTAGCTGGACTCGAGTCTATTTTCATGGACTCGAGGACTCGAAAAGGGAAGATAACTCGGATTATTTGACGTTGAAAGACTGTCTGCCATGTGCTAAGCATGAGCGGCCGTTAACGTCAAATATTAAGATAAGATATAACTTTATTATCCCGTAGGAAATTCTTATACATCCAAACTGTCTCAAAATGAATATATACACAGTTCACAAAAATACACACAATAATTACATGCTCAAATCGAATGCTATTTATAAATAAAACTGACATGATATAATTCAATTAACCACATAGGAAAAGAGGCTGAATAATTCTAGTTCTAATCACATGATGGTGATTCAAAATATTTGTTGCATTCACGAATACTTGATGGTATGAAAGACTGTCTAGCTCTGTTTGTTTTGAGGGAAGGTAATCGTCAGCAGCGTCCAGAAGGAAGTAGTTCAAAATGGTGAGATCAAATATATCAACTATCAAATCTAATTTTAGCTCCATTTTTTACAATCTGGCGCTCATAGATAAAGGGAGTATACTCGAAAGACACTCCAGAAATTTTGCAAGCAGTATTAACAATTTTGAAAAGTTTGTTTTTGTTGCGATGAGACAGATCCCCATACCAACATAGAAAATTGTAGGTCAACACACTTTGAATAAAGGTTTGATAAAAAACTGTCATTACGGTTTTGTCAATGCCTTGACGATAATAATGTTCAGAATCAGAAATTAGGCCAGTAACAGTGGCATCATCTCCAAATTTCACAGTGAACAAGTCATATATTGACAAGCAACGGATGAAGGAACACAGCCATGTGGATCTCCAGTAGAGGTTGAGAGCAAAGAAGATTGATAGCCATTGACACTGACATACTGAGTTCTATGTACCCTGAATTCTTTAACCCATCTGATAATGTTTTTATTAAGGCCTAGATTAAATAGTTTACTCCTCACACGGTGTGGCTGTATGGCTGTAGTTGTTACAAGTCTGCAGATGAGAGTAATTATTATACATCGTTTGAGATTTCACTTCTTAAAATGATTAGGTAACGATAAGGAGAACGATAAAAAATCAAATGTATGGAAGTGTCTTGATCTGGATAGTGAAAAGAGAAAAATATTACTGCGCTATGCAGGCAGTACAACCAGTACGATGAAAAAACAAAACATTTGGCAAGTAAACATCCAAATACGGATTCTGACCAATAGGAAATGTTAGTCACACGACGATATGAAGTCGGAATGAAGTAAGTGTTCACTTGTGTGATTGGAACACATGTCATGTCGGTTACGCTATCGTTTGCTTGAAAGGTATGAATTTCGAGTACTCGGGTCCGAGTCGAGTCTCACCCCTCGAGTACTCGAGTCCAAAAAAATGGACTCGTTGAAGCCCTAATTTTAAACGTTAGAAAACATAAACGTAACGTTTCCACCAGTGATGTTAGCTGCGTGAAGCAACTGCAAACCAAGAAACGGGATGCAACGGAGTAGTTTATTGTGGCGCAGTGATGCCAATACATTGTGACGTAATGCAAAAGTGCTTCTTATCGTCTGATAAAGTACTGTCGGCGCCTTTGATCTTTCACCGAAGCATCTTAGAAAAACAAATTGTTAGAGCGTACCACGTAAATGGTACGTGCATGCAGATTTGATGGGACAGAAAAGAAAATATTGTGAGCTTCTTTGATGGTTAATGGTGGGGGTGGGTTGTCAGGGTGGGTCGGGTGTGTATGTAAAATTCAACCAACTGAAATTTATGAGATTCGAATGTCTGCTAAATCAGACTCCATGGAATGGATAAGCATGTTCTTCGTTGCTGGTAGCATCCACTACTCAAACTATATTTGCATTTAGGTGTTTGTTTGTTGCCCAAGACTCCGCCTGGTGTAAACAATTACATCTGACAGGGCGATCCAGTGATTAATATTTGAACACTGGGACAGGTCAATGTACCATCAACGGTCAGGAGAATTTGATTCGCCATAATGAGTTAAATTGTCAGAATCGAACCATTCTGATAAATAGTTCTGCTTTGTATAGAACCTTACACCTAAATATACGCTCACAAGAGATACTGAATTATGTCATATCTGCTTTCTTATTGAAATAACAATATGATTATGACAAAACATGTGTTCCATTGTGAGGATGAAGCATCATAGCTTTCGTTTATCCGAGCTCATTTTGACAGCAACTTTGTAGTTCGTTGTATACATTTCTTGTAAACTATGAAGCCAACATCCCATGGCGTTATATCCGTTGTTTCTTAAGAAGAGTGATCATTATAAACGTCGTTATCTGTATCTATGTACTGTACTTACACCTAGATATATTTCGTGCAGGGCGTACAAGGCAGAACTCAACTGCCTCAGCTCAGCAAAGACACCTACTGGCTGCAACGGTACAACTACGAAAAGCGCTATCGCCACGACAGCCGAGACAGCACGCGCCTCTCTGACCAATGCTTCAGCCGATATGTGTCCAGGTAAATCACCTCTTGCATTCACTCGTAAAGATCCGGGTTAGAATTGGTCTTCAACATCCCATGCTTGTCGCTCATCTTCCACATTTTGTTCTGATGTGAAGGTGTATTGGCATACGCACGTGCAAGAAGCAGCGACCGCAGGTGTCAGTGAACGAGGTCGCTGTAACAGGACAATGGACGTTGCATTAGGTGAGGTGAGGTGAAATTGGGTTTTACGTCGTGCTTGAGAATATTTCGCTCATATGACGACGTGCATGCGTGTATGTGTAATGTGCGGCTGCTTGTACTAGCCCAGACTTAAGCTGGTTTTATAGTGCTAGCTCACTGAGATACCATACCGCAGTTAAGCATGAATACCCCACTCAGACACATTATACTGACTCCGAGCCGACCAGTCCTTGTTGTGCCCATTAATGCCGAGCGCCAGCAAGGGACCAACAAGTACCATATTTTACCGTCTTTTGGTATGACGCGGTCGGGGATCGAACCCGCGACCTTCCGCTCTCCGGGCGGACGCTCTAACCACTACACCACGGAGGCGGTCACGTTGTCTTAAGAAGGTATAATAAATTTAATCCACATTGAAACCGAATCATCTTCATGATGCAAAGAAGTTCCCAGACTATAAAACTGCAGTTTCCACCCTTGCCATCATCACCAACTGTTCCCGGTCACAGACACAGATCATTCACAGATATTTCCACATGTCTTGGTAGCCATTAAGGGTTAGAATTGATCTTCAGTAGCCCCATGCTTGTCGTAAGAGGTGACTAACGGGATCGGTCGGTCAGGCTCGCTGACTTGGTTGACACATGTCATCGTATCCCAATTGCTTAGATCGATGCTCATGCTGTTGATCACTGGATTGTCTGGTCCAGATTTGATTATTTGGTGACTGCCACCATATAGCTGTGATATTGTTGAGTGCGGTGTTAAACAAAAAAAAAGAAAGAAAGAAAACCTCTTACAATCACAGTCGCACAAGTCAAGTGACGACATTCCAATCATGTGTTTGGAAAACAGACAACACTGGAGGGTTTTGATCTGGTTTCAGGGTCAACAGGATCCGCAGTTGCTTCTTAATTATATGTGGGGGAGGTGGGGTAGCCGAGTGGTTAAAGCGGTCGCTCGTCACACTGAACACCCGGGTTCGAGCCCCCGCATGGGTATAATGTGTGAAACCCATTTCTGGTGTTCCCCGCCGTGATATTGCAGGGGTATTACTAAAGGTGGCGTAAAACTCAACTCACTCACTCTTAATTATATGTACGGTTTTGTGTCCCGTTGTCGTACAAAGATGGGGCGGTGGGGTAGCCTAGTGGCTAAAGCGTTGGCTCGTCACACCGAAGACCCGGGTTCGAATCCCCACATGGGTACAATGTGTGAAGCCCATTTCTGGTGTCCTTCGCTGTGATGTTGCTGGAATATTGCTAATAGCGGCGTAAAATCAAACTCAGTCAGTCAGTCGTACAAAGATAGTTCACTCAAATCCCAGGTTAATTCATAATATGGCTCTTGGTTTGCCTGCACCATTCATGCACTCGTCTTAGTTGGACTGGGTCTCTCGTGATAGTCCGAGAAAGATTGATTGAACTAATTAACAACAATTTCGTTTGTCTTCTCTTAAAAATCGGATAATGTTTACCTCTTATAGTGAATGGTCAGGAAGACTCATATTACTCAGACCCTTCTCAGAACCAGACGTAGCACTTATTACACGCTGGACAATGTTAAACAGGCCATGTAGACTTGCCATCCGTGGGACATCCGTAGTGTGTTATTCATCTCAAAACTCTTTAGCAAGGGAGCAGGCTGGTGGAAAAAAATATAAACAAAAAACATTTTTTACTATTCCATAAAATTTCAAAATTTATAATAGTCCAGTCGCGTTGCTTCGGAAACATTTTTCTTTACAAATGTAGAGACTGACAAAGAAAGATCAGGCTGACCAGGTTGTGTATTTGTGTGCAAGGGTAAGAATATCTGATGTTTCCATACTAGGGCATTAATGTCCACAGCGGTGGGGAATTGAGATAAGAATACTTATGAAAACTTTCATTATTTCACTTCGGTATGAAAATTCAGAGCAGACGGGAGAAACGCTGGAAAATACGGACTGCCTTAAGCCGGCCCGATAAAGCTGAAGGACTGCTTAAAACCATGCCACATTTATACTTTTATGTTGCTTTCCACTCCAGCTCCGACCAGTACTTGCCAGTGTGAGATTGACGCTGCCAAGGGCGACAACAGCGACAGTACCAAATACTGCAAGTAAGCACGACTTTAAAGTACCGTTATGTCCTATGTAGAATTTAAAAGCTACTTTTTAAGTTTATAATCTGCTACAGTCAAACACCACTGTTTCGAAGTTGGAGAGACCTACGGAAATACTTCGAGTTATCCGAGGTTCAACTCAACCGAAAAGTATATGAATACGAAGGGACCAAGCTTGGACACAATCGGAAGTTGTCTGTGTATTCGAACTTTGAAACGCTGCAGGCCCTAAGGACCTAGAACCATAAAAAGTTATGGATTCTGATCAGAATGTGTAGGCTCTATATTTTAGCTACAATATAAGTAATTCCCAGCAAACACAAAATGTGACAACTAACAAACTGAGTTAAAAAGATAAATTTTACTCCCTGACTTGTCTTCATTAACACCAAATCAACGTCCATGTCAAGATCCAAGTCTTCTGAAAAGTCGGAATCAGAATGTACATACAGGGATATGTCACTTATTGGGGATAAAATGCTGTCGGCCAGCAGAAGGCCTGCCATAAGGACCTGCAGAAAACGAAAGCTGTGGCTCCGAGTGGTTTTCAGTCGGCTTCGGGCCTAGAGACCGACATTGATTTCGAACGGTAAATATTGTTGATTTGGGGGAGGGGCAAAGGGTTGGGGTGGCTCAAATGACACCCATGTAGTGAAGGTCTAATGTATCGAAATAACTTTAATGTTCTAATCTCCATGTTATCGTTCGTTGTTATTTCTGAATATCGTCTTTGTGATACAGTGTCCTGACAACCCTGAGAACTTGCCTGTCCCTCATCACAAACACCACAGAGCCCGGATGTACCGCTGTAACCCATGCCGCACTAGTCACCAGCACAGGCACCAAGTACACGTCCGCTCAGTGTCAGTGTTATCTTTGATTTTTATGGGGCGGTGGGGTAGTCCAGTGGTTGAAGCGCTCGCTCGTTACGACTAAAGACCAAGTTCGATACTCGTGTCGTCCGCCGTGCATTCGTGATCAACTCGTGTTATTCCGGGTTACGGAAAGGGGCGAGTGGTGGCGAATTGTCCGTCGTAATGTTGCTGGAATATTGCTCAAAGCGCAGTAAAACCTTACTCACTCACTTTCAATTTTATGTCATAACTCGGACATTGATGAAACATACAGTAATTTGCTTGTCCTTAATATTAGATGATGATCTAATCCAAATTTGGACATTCTCTTTTCAGGTGCTGCAGACCACGTGACCTTTGTGATGACGTCACTGGTGCTCTCGCTGTTGGCCACTGTGTTTCTGTAGTGACCTCAACCCGTCGTGTGTGAAGTCGACAATGTCGCCCATCTTCGCTAGTTGTTCTTAAAGGTCTGCACACTCAGCAGAATCTATCATATGCAATCTTATATCTTAATACTTATATCTTAATACTAATATCTTAATACTTATATCTTAATACTTATATCTGAATACTTATATCTTAATACTTATATCTTAATACTTATATCTTAATACTTATATCTTAATACTTATATCTGAATACTTTAAGGTGATGTTTCTATGTTATTTCTCCCCTATCATTCCTTTAACCGTATGAAAAACCGGGCTGACCTATACAAACATTGAACACACACATTAATAGCATACCAGTATGCAGTAAACACACGGTAACCTGTTAGTGATTAATAGGTCTGTTCCACAGCATGGTCAAAGCATATGACGTGTCCAGCACTCGCTTGTCACTGACCGCATTAAATTGATCATGGAAATAGATTCAAACGTGTCCGAAACGTCATAAACTAATATTCTAAAATCGTACCTATTGAATAACAACTCGGTCCTGTTAATTTAATCTTTCTTCTTATTCGTATAACAAATCGATATCGTACATACCAGTCAAACCTTTGATATTGTGAAACACTACAACATAATTAAGACCCAGTGATACAATTACCCTGTGAATTTCTCGAACTTAATTACCATTGTAAGCTATTTGGCAAGAATATCTGAGCTGTACGCTTGTTCAGTCACATGACTTATGTGAGTCAATCCCAGAGAGAACAAAATGGCTGCAATGCATGACGTCATCCTTGTATATCACATAGTACTTCAGTATAATACAAGGAAGTGTCACGATGTTTGTATATTTCACCCCACGAGTCCCGTGCCCTGATGATGTGTTGAGTTTCTGATTGTAAACTTCAGTTGTTCCACTGAAATAAACGGCACTGGTCTCGATAGCTGGTGTTTGTGTTTTGTTTAAAAATATATACTTGAATTTTATTGAGTTAGAGTTTAGGCGGACTGAAACAGGTACATTACGAAAACGCAACTTAACCATTTCGAGGCATCCGTTGTTTGAGTAGAGAATGATGTTTATGTAACATCCAATTACCGTTGCAGATTTACACACCAAGGCTTATACTATGATTCAGTTCGAACAAAAGGGCTGTGGAGATGGGGTAGTTCAGAGGGTAAAGTGTTCCCTTGTCAAGATGAAAACTCGGTTTGATTCTTCATTTGGGTAAAAGCACATTTCTCCTCTATTTCTAAAACAATACTTACACGAACTAAGGCATTCTCTTCCCACAGAGGTGACTCCTGTCATATCTTCCTACGTAACCTCTGTTCTAATACGGCCCTTTCATGGTGTGAGCGTTCAAGACTCGTGATTGGAGGCAATCAGATTTAGTTGTGCAATCAGCGACGTTGTTTCAAAAGTGATCATTCGCAAGGCCTCGGTAATTTCCGTATACTTCGAGAAAACTAAACCTCTTCCCCTGCGCGATGCGCAAACGTTTCTTCTAGACAGAACTCAGTCATGTTATGGCGGATCAGTGGCATCTCCATCGCCGTCGTTGACAACGGACAAGCTAGCCATTAAACGTCTTGTGTGTAACATCAACACAAGTCCCCGGCAGATGGGGGATATTTGTGGCCCCACATTTGCTTGTGTTAGTCAAGTTGATATCTAAGTCGATGTAACACGTGTTCTGATTGGATAGAAAGAAGGGAGATAATTCGTGTTGCGATCTTTTGCCGCTAAGGGATTTTACGAGAACCGGGAAATATGGCCGTATTAGAAGAGAGGTTACGTAGGAAGATATGACAGGAGTAACCTCTGTGGGAAGAGAATGGAACTAAGGGTGATTCACTGAATATCACACGTGTGATGATCGGTGCGCATGCAGTTGATCACTAGATTGTCTGGCCCAGACTCGATAATTTACTGACAGACGCCATAGAGCTGGGGTGCTACTGGAAATTGGAATGCTGAATAATGTCAGGGATGGCAACATTTCAGTAATATACGATGGCCTGTAAAGAAACAGTTATAGTCCAGACAAACCTGTGATTGAAAGCATGAGCATCCACCATTGCCGTCTGTGATCGGGGACCCTTCTACCAGGCCACACATTGGAGCCATCTCATCCTGGCATCGTCTACCTTCAGCATCAACCACCTGCCTTAACCATCCTGGCATCGTCTACCTTCACTGTCAGCCACCTACCTTAACCATCCTGGCATCGTCTACCTTCACTGTCAACCACCTACCTTAATCATCCTGGCATCGTCTACCTTCACTGTCAACCACCCACCTTAACCATCCTGGCATCGTCTACCTTCAGCATCAACCACCTACCTTAACCATCCTGGCATCGACTTCCTTCACTGTCAACCCCCTAGCTTAACCATCCTGGCATCGTCTACCTTCAGCATCAACCACCCACCTTAACCATCCTGGCATCGTCTACCTTCACTGTCAACCGCCTACCTTAACCATCCTGGCATCGTCTACCTTCACTGTCAACCACCCACCTTAATCATCCTGGCATCGTCTACCTTCAGCATCAACTACCCACCTTAACCATCCTGGCATCGTCTACCTTCACTGTCAACCACCTACTTTAACCATCCTGGCATCGTCTACCTTCATTGTCAACCACCTACCTTAACCACCCTGGCGTCGTCTACCTTCACTGTCAACCACCTACCTTAACCATCCTGGCATCGTTTACCTTCAGCATCAACCACCTACCTTAACCATACTGGCATCGTCTACCTTCACTGTCAACCACCCACCTTAACCATCCTGGCATCGTCTACCTACACTGTAGACAGTGCAATCACTCCATGCACATCGGCCACCTTCAACCCTGACCTCCCCATGAAGTTGTAGGAAAGTTTACACTCCTCGGGTACAGTAGCCATCTTTGTTGATGGACGGGTATTAGCTACTACCCCACTCGGACACCCGTCCGTTGACCTAGTGAAGGGAAGTAACTCTGGCCTTCTTGATATGGACACTGCAGTGAAAGGTTGACCACGTGTTGTTCCAGCGTCAACAGATCGACACATTCTAGCCAGACGTCAGTGATGTTTAGAGTAGAGTGAGTGAGTAAAAGGTTTTACGCCGCCTTTAGGAATTTTCCAGCAATATCACATCGGGGGAAACCAGAAATGGGCTTCACACATAGTACCCATGTAGGGAATCGGACCCGGGTCTTCGGCGTGACGAGCGAACGCTTTAACCATTACTAGGCTACCCCACCGCCCCTAAGAGAGTAGAAATAGTCGCCAACAGTCTCAAGTGAGTCAGTGAGTGAGTTTAGTTTTACGCCGCGTTTAGCAATATTGTTTGCAATGTCAAAGCGGGAGACACCGCATTGTACATATGTGGGGAATCGAACCCTTTTACCTGTAAGCTAATGAAGGGGTTGATGCCCAGCTTGTCTGTGGTACATGCTATCTTCTGTAGCTGCCAGCCCACCACGTTACTGGCACCGACGTAGAGCACCTTCCCACACCGAACAAGGTCATGGAACGTACGGAGTGTTTCTTCGATGGGAGTTCCATCATCCCAACAATGCATCTGAAACAATTACATGTTTTGCAACAAACCTTTTTATCAGAGTATCTGCAACTGTTGCCACACCTCTGCTACAATTGGTCCTCAGCAACCACAACTTGAGACGACTAACGGGACAGGGGGCCAGGCCGTGTCATGGTATCCCAACTGTGTACATAAATGCTCACGATATCAATCACTGGATTGTTTGGACTCGATTATTTACAGAACGGTATATAGTTATACAGGAATATTTGTGAGTGTGGCATTAAAAATCTTGCGTTCATCAGGTATAAATTCACGTATTGCATTTTACATTCACTTGGAACAGATCCACGATCGGCATTTTACACTGACCTGGTACAGAGACACGCTTTGCATTAATTACCAACCTGGTACAGATCCACATAGTTTGTCTGGAGTCTCTCGAGACTGTTCTGAATATTCTGGACAATATGGCGACGACTGAGACCAACCCCACTTGGCACGATTCCTCTAACCTTTGTTGCAATAACAAACTGGTCACGTGATTGTCTGAAACAACGACAGTGGCCAGAGTGTCAATAAATATTATCGATGAAGCAATTACAGCAATTATACCTGTGTACGAAACTACTAGTCGATGAGGCTCCTGTACATCAAGGCATTCCTACCTGTGCATAATACAACAGGTCCACGAAAGTCCTCTACGCATTTCTATAGATGAATAGTACTACTGGTCAGTGAAGGTCATCTGCATTGAGGCATTCCTATAGATGAGTAGTACTACTGGTCAGTGAAAGTCCTCTACATTGAGGCATTCCTATAGATGAGTAGTACTACTGGTCAATGAAGGTCCTCTACATTGAGGCATTCCTATAGATGAATAGTACTACTGGTCAATGAAGGTCCTCTACATTGAGGCATTCCTATAGATGAATAGTACTACTGGTCAATGAAGGTCCTCTACATTGAGGCATTCCTATAGATGAATAGTACTACTGGTCAATGAAGGTCCTCTACATTGAGGCATTCCTATAGATGAATAGTACTACTGGTCAATGAAGGTCCTCTACATTGAGGCATTCCTATAGATGAGTAGTACTACTGGTCAATGAAGGTCCTCTACATTGAGGCATTCCTATAGATGAGTAGTACTACTGGTCAATGAAAGTCCTCTACATTGAGGCATTCCTATAGATGAGTAGTACTACTGGTCAATGAAGGTCCTCTACATTGAGGCATTCCTATAGATGAATAGTACAACTGGTCAATGAAAGTCCTCTACATTGAGGCATTCCTATAGATGAGTAGTACTACTGGTCAATGAAAGTCCTCTACATTGAGGCATTCCTATAGATGAGTAGTACGACTGGTCAATGAAAGTCCTCTACATTGAGGCATTCCTATAGATGAATAGTACTACTGGTCAATGAAGGTCCTCTACATTGAGGCATTCCTATAGATGAGTAGTACTACTGGTCAATGAAGGTCCTCTACATTGAGGCATTCCTATAGATGAATAGTACAACTGGTCAATGAAAGTCCTCTACATTGAGGCATTCCTATAGATGAATAGTACTACTGGTCAGTGAAAGTCCTCTACATTAAGGCATTCCTATAGATGAATAGTACTACTGGTCAATGAAAGTCCTCTACATTGAGGCATGCCTATAGATGAATAGTAATACTGGTCAGTGAAGGTCCTCTGCATTCAGACATTTCTATAATAATACTACCGATCCATTAAGGTTCTCTGCGTTGAGGCATTCCTATGGACGAATAATATTATATACTACCGATCCATAAAGGTCCTCTGCATCGAGGCATTTCTCTGGACGAATAAAATTACCGATCTAAGAAGGTCCTCTACTTGGAGGCATAACCTGTGGACAAATGATATCATATACTAACGATCTAAGAAGGTCCTCTATGTCGAGGCATAACCTATGGACAAATGATATTATATACTACCGACCCACGAAGGTCCTCTACGTGCAGGCATTCCTATGGACAAATGATTTTATATACTACCGAGCTATGAAGGTCCTCTACGTTGAGGCATTCGTATAGACAAATATAATTATATACTACCGATCCAAGAAGGTCCTTTACGTTGAAACTTTCCTATGGACAAATAATACTACCGATGCAAGAAGGTCCTCTACGTTGAGGCATTCCTTTGGACGAATAATATTATATACTACCGATCAAAAAAGGTCCTCTACGTTGAGGCATTCCTGTGGACGAATAATACTACCGGTCTCAGAAAGGCCTCTACGTAGCTGGATTCATTTTTTACTCTCGCACAGATAATCCTTTCAAGTTATACTAGAGACTGGTATGATTGATATTATGAAGATGCATAACATACTTTGTTAACCAGGATCCGAGGAACTTCTCTGACAATCCTTGCGAGTAAACGTCCGCAGTGTCGATGAAGTTCCCTCCCCACTGGACGTAGCGCTCAAGTAGCTGGTGGGAGTATTCCTCTGAGGCCTGACTGGGTCTGCTACCCTGAATAACAGCATTGTGTGCGTGAGTGGTGGTTTGTGTTAGGTTTACAAAATTGAATGTGTCACAGTTTTGAATGAGTGAGTGAGTGAATTTAGTTTTACGCCGCACTCAGCAATATTCCACCTATATGGCAGCGGTATATAAATAATCTAGCCTGGACCAGACAACCCAGTGATTAACATCATGAGCATCGATCGACGCAATTGGGATACGATAACATGTGTCAGTCAGCCAAGTCAGCGAGCCTAACCACCCGATCCCGTTAGTCGCCTCTTACTACAAGAATGGGTTACTGAAGATTAATTCTAACTCAGATCTTCACGGGTCACACACAGTCTTGAAGGTTTACAGTCAGGCAACTATATATATTCTGAACATATCTCATTAAATCAAATTAAACATTGACTCGGAGATGAAGGTATGAAGACATCCCCACAGAAGGTTTTGTCAGATGAGAGGCTGTGGCGTAGCCTAGTAGCTAAAGCGTTCGCTCGTCACGCTGAAGACACAGGTTCGATTCCACACATGGGTACAATTTGTGAAGATAATTTCTGGTGTCCCCTCCCGTGAAACTACTGGAACATTGCTAAAAGCGGCGAGAAATCATACTCACTCAGATACATAAAAATACATGCAAGCGATGAACTCGTTTCCATAATTGTTAAAAATGGTTAACGCCAGAAAATAACTCGCTTATCCCATGGAGCAGATTCCGGACTCAGCATTCATTATATCTAATGCACTCTCTCTCTCTCTGTCCCTATCTATCTCTCTCTCTCTCTTTATTACGTACGCACGCACGCACGCACGCACGCACGCACGCACACATATATATACATGTATATACGCACGCACGCACAACACATGTTGTTTTATTTAAATCTAAAATCACTAGATTCTGTGCTGAGATGTTGCGCATGACAAATGATTATACACAGTAATTTATGGCTATGTGTGTGTGAGAGAGAGAGAGAGAGAGAGAGAGAGAGAGAGAGAGAGAGAGAGAGAGAGAGAGAGAGAGAGAGAGAGAGAGAGAGAGAGAGAGAAAGAGAGGGAGGGAGATGTTGAAGATTTTAAGGGGGGTCACCCATTTTACTCTGGGGAGGTTGTATCCCATAACCCCTACATGCCACTACCCCTACAGCCCAGTACCCCTACAATTAGTTAAAACAACACACGGCATTTACCTGTCTGGCATAATGAACTGACCCAAAGAGAGATTTCTACTTCCCCTGTGGAACCACAACCTGACAACTGGGCCGAGGACAAACAACAATCTAGAAGGTTTTCACAACCGACTGAACCGTGCAATTCCACACAGGCATCCGAACATATACAGATTTGTAGAAGTCATTAGGAGAATTGAACATGCTGAGAGGGTGAAGATTTCACAAATAGACTTTGGTGCTGCGACAAGAAGCAGAAAGCGAGTCTTCAGGGAGATTGACAATCGCCTGTGTAGACTCAAGGAGCAGCTTGAGCTTGGACAGTAATCACCTCTTCAGTTCTTGGACGCCGTCGGCTATCTGCTTAAGCTGGGATAGATTGAAACACTGAATGTTCATAGACTGAAACACTTGACACAAATGACTATGTTAACATTGAATGTTAACAGTTAATTGTTAATGTCCATCAAAGAATCATGATGACGAATTATTGTTAATTGTTATTAAAATCTTGATGATGACAAATGATGATCACTTTTCATTAAAATCATTCTCTCAACCTTTTAGTTGTGTGTTGTTATGTCTCTTAAGTGGATTAGTCCATTGTGTGGAATAGGTAACAGGCAGTGGATTAACAGTGCAACAGACCGTAAACTATGTTGTTATAAGCTGTAGGGGTAGTGGCATGTAGGGGTAATGGGGGGTTACCTCTGGGGAGGTAGGGTGGTCATCAATTTTTTACACATGTATCTAGGTCGGGTCAGCAATTTTGTAAAGACAAATATTCAAGAATTATGCCTTAAAAACGGAAAGGGGGAATGGGGGTCATTGCCTTTGTACATGACATGCAGGGGGGTCACTTACTTTGTACATAAATTTTTGGGGGGGTCATTCACATTGTACATGTTTCTCCATAAAAATCTCCCCCCCCGCCATAAATTATGAACTGTCCCTAATGACTTATATAGCACACGGTTTGCTAATTAATGTACATCATTATAAAATTTTCCTTTTCAGTTTCACCTGTCTTGACTTTAACCTGACTATAGATCTATGTACATCTATGTGCAGAGGTTCTTTATGTGATATACTAGCAGAAACAGCTACAATAAACTATCGTAATCTTGTCATTCTTCAGATGTATATTAATCGTAAATGGGTAACATGAATGTCGATTATACACTGCTTAGAGTAAGTTGTCACTTACAAAATACCATCTATTTAAGACACACACCTTTCAAATAATCTGACCACAAAAATGACCGACAAAATCGGTTCGAGGCATTTATACTATACCTTCTAATTAAGTTACATTGACTACTGACTTGTGTCACCCCTATCAAGACCCTCACGAGAGCTTTGGGCAAATGTCATGACAAATCGGCTCCGACAGGAAAACACGTGCGACTCCACGACTCACCCCAGGATTCCCAAACGTCCCCGTGCCGAGACACATGTTGGCGACGTTCAGGCCAGACCTTCCCAAGAAGTTGTAGGAAAGTTTACACTCCTCGGGTACAGTAGCCATCTTTGTTGATGGACGGGTATTAGCTACTACCCCACTCGGACACCCATCCGTTGACCTAGTGAAGGGAAGTAACTCTGGCCGCCCTGTTATCCCTTCCTTACAGTGGTACGAGTATATTTGTGTAAATGTAATAATGTAATGTAATGTAATAATATTAATGAATTATAATCACAATAAACAAGGTAATCATTTCCAGTAAGTTTATGGTTGGCTTGCTGTTGGAATCCATAATCATAAGGTGTAGGCATTAAAGAAAAACACAAGCTGAACAAAAGTTATCCAAGTTAAAAGTTGAAGATTGTGAGTATTTTGGGGAATATTGATTTATTAATTTTATTAAAAAAAATATTCCCAAAATATTCATGATGCCAAATTTTATTTGGTCAGTATATATGAGAACACCTGCATATTTTCAATTTCTCTTTGGTTTACATAACAAACTTACACCATTTCAGCCTATTTTGGTTAGATTACTCGTCGTTAAAGGTTGATATCCTGATGGTTTCCTTGTCAGAACAGAAAGACGACGGACAACGGCCTTACCATAAGCTCACCCTCTATCCTGATGAGATTCACACGAGGCCGGTTGGGGTAGCCAAGTGGTTAAAGCGTTCGCTCATCAGGGGAAGACCCGGGATTTGATTCTCCACATGGGTAAAATGTGTGAAACTTATTTCAGGGGTCCCCCGCCCTGATATTGCTAGAATATTACTAAATGCGGCGTATAACATACTCACTCACTCAGATACAAAATACCAACGTGTGTTCATAGGCGGATCCAGAGGTGGGGTGTGCAGGGTGCGAACCTACACACCTACAACCACCCACCCCCACCCACCACCCCCACCCCCACCCGTGCTGAATGCTTGTTAAATGACAATTGAAACTCGGGTGTAAATGAAGTGTGCACCCCTCCTTTTCTCAATAGTGTGCACACCCCCACCCCCCCCCTTCTCAAAAAGCCGTATCCGCCCCTGTGTGTTTTAACAACACACCTTTTCTGATATTTTCAGGCAATGCAGACTCTGGTTCATCCCAAGCCTCTGTTATGCTAGCATTAGTGATATCACTGGCTGCGGGTGCAATGGTGTAGGAGCTGATCACGATCACCCTCAAATCATGCCCAGACGGGGCGGTGGGGTAGCCAAGTGGTTAAAGGCCCGGGATCGATTCCCCACATCAGAACAATGTGTGAAGCCCATTTCTGGTGTCCTCTGCCGTGATTCTGCTGGAACATTGCTTGAAGCAGCGTAAAACTAAACTCACTCACGTCATGTCCAGACCCAATCAAACAATGTAGTGATGTTACCGTCAATGCAGTGTCGCAGTTTTCCGTACTGTGATTGCATGTTGTGCTTCTTCAGCTGGATACTTACGGTTCTGCCATTAATTGGTCCGAATTTAGTTGATTAATCCAAATTGCCTAAGGAATTTGGTATCGATCCCTCAGATGCATCAACCGAATATATACGTTATTTTAAACATCCATAACTCTGTAACATGTCAATATTGCGGTCCAGCTGTAGATAATATTGTGTTTCGATGAGTGCGTGAGTTTAGTTTTACGCCGCACTCAGCAATATTCCAGCTATATGGCGGCGGTCTGTAATTAATTGAGTCTGGACCAGACAATCCAGTGATCAACAGCATGAGCATCGATCCACGCAACTGGGAAACAATTACATGTGTCAGTCATGTCAGCGAACCTTACCACCCGATCCCGTAAGTCGCCTCTTACGACAAGCATGGGTTACTGAAAATCAGTTCCATCCCGGATCTTCACGGGGCGTGTTTCGATGAAGATTAAAATGACTGGCATCTTTGTTTTGCACCTTCAATGTTTACAGCATGCCTATGGAGCGTTGACGTTTATTCTAAGAAAGAAGCGGCCCTGCCAAAACGTTAGTTACAGCACACAAAAGCGAAGGTTTATGAAACCTGAAAGCTACACAATCAGTGTGTGCTGCATTCGTCACCACTCGCCCCTTTCCGTAACTCTTCTTTCGCTATTCGGCTTGTCCCGGAATAACACGAGTTGGTCACGAATGTGTGTGCTGTTCTCATTACAAAACCTTGAGTGAGTGAGTATCATGATGCCAATTGAAACGTAAATGCACGTGCAGATTGTGAATATGGCCTTAAGGTCGATGACATGGCTTCATGAGTATGTGAAGGTGTATTTTTAATTTCAAAATACAATTATATTTATTGATACGGCAATGTTAATGCACAATGATGCTTGCACCTCCCCATGAGTCTCTTTCCATAACACATTGGTCTGAGCAACGCTGGCCACGTCGTCGCCATATTCTTGTTCTGCCATCTGCAGTTGATACGCAGTGCCGACTCTCATCTGTGAACAGAACAGCTCTCCATTGCCTGTATCGCCCGTTTTGGTGTTGTAGGGCAAACTGTAGACGTTCACGCCGATGACAAGGGGTGAGGATAGGTCCACGGTAATGTCTACGGCAATGCAGGTTCCCGCTGTTATGACGTCGGCATACTGTATCAGTACTGATTGGTCTTCCGTGTGTTCCCACTGTCTGGTGTGCTGTTTCGGATGCCTGCGTGGAGGGATTCTGTACATGCTGTCGCACAACATGGCGGTCTTGTCGTCAACCTTGGTCTGCCAGTACGGGGGTGATCATTTGTGGTGGCCCGGAAACGTTGCTGCAGCCTGTAGATAGTCCGAACGTTGACCTGGAAGTGATTGGCAACGGCTTGTGCAGTGTGGCCAGCTTCAAGTCTTCCTAGCGCCTGGTTCCTCTGAGCTGTCGTGAAAAGGGACATCCTGCTGACGTTGTAATGTGAATGTTTCAACCAGGTTTGGGGGTGCATTTTATAGGGCTGGGCCTTGTGAACAGCACGTGCAGCATGAGTTGCATGAAAAACATGGAGAACACCGTACCATCTCCGAGATCAGGTTGCGTTTTTGAGACCATTTCCTGGGTTCAATTCTGAGTTTGGGAAGGAGTGCCTTTGTTCAGGTAAAGTTGGAGATGTCAAAAATATACAATCAAAACATTAAATGAGTTTACAAGAATCCGTTTCTGCGAAGGAAAATCCAAACTGACGTTTATTTTGCTGCTTAGTTTCAGGGAGAGTGTATTCCATTCAAAACACTTATAGGTTCGAATTCTCGCCTGTTACGACGTAAATTGTAATAAAAACGCAATTTGTAATACTTGAGGCAAATTGTAATAAACTTGACGTAAATTGTAATAAAAACGTAAATTGTAAAGCTTTGCGTTCGGCAGAAAACATACCATCAGGATCGTAGGTAGACACGGGAGGATAAGGGCCCACATAGCCTTGGTGAGCTTCGGTGTTGAAGAAGTGAGGGAAGTAACCTTTCTTGAGTTCCGTCAACGCAAACGTTTTTTGGAAACTGCTTCAGAGCCATCGTGAGGAAATTGAGTGAATCTTTGAAGACGAGGCACCCCACGGTCATGTGACAGATGAGATTCCCTCGAAGTGTGACCTGAGGTGGTTTCACGAGATGTTGATGGAAGTACTGTAGGAGCAAGTGTCCATCATAGCCACGGTAGTTGTGTGCAATGCCCAACACGTCGTCATCATCAATGGTAGGGGAAATGTCGTCTTCGCCTTTGTCTTGTTCCTCGTCGTCCTCTTGTTCTAGTTCTACATCATCATCATCATCGGGTTCTGGCGATGGCGGTTTGGATTGTTTGGAGGCGCGCCCTGACGACTGTTGGTGGGGTGCCTTACGTTTCTTCTTCTTCTGTTTCTTTTCCGCCAGACGCATCAGCCAGTCGCCCATGTCCTTCAAGGTCGTAGATTCCCGAAACACTTTGATGCAGCTAGGTCCTTCTCCTGCTTTACGCCAGGGACACTTTTCGCACAGTTGATCCGAGGCCTCGGAAATACATTTTCCACATCCCAGATGCACCACGCACAAGTTGGCGGAACATGAGTCCCTTGATCTTGGGTACATTCAAAATCGTAGAAGATGAACTGACGTTGTTGTCGTTCTTTGTCTTCCTCCTTTTTTTCACCGTCTTCATTTTGTTTCGGTGGTTGGATGACGGTCATGTAGGACTGGTGGTTGGGTTTCAAGGGTTCCTTGCAGATCTTGCAGTCACGATTGGTGGTTGGCCATGCCCTGGATTTTTCTCACATTGACTTTGGCCATGCATCGATGACACGTGTGGATGGTGGAGCAGGTGCTCGGTTGTTTGGCGGAGGCCGCCCAATGCCATTGAAAGCAGTACGGGTTTCGGAACCATCCGCCACTTTGGAGACAGGAGCGTCCTTCACTGACCACGTCGCCACAGTATCCAGGACATTGGCACCAGTAACATCGAAATTCTCGGGTGCAGCGATGATTTTCAGGGGTGCTGTATCCTTGGTCACAAATTTCACAGTAGTAGGGATAACCTGTAAAAGCTGGCATGGATGTAATGACATCGTAATGCTGATGGTGGTGATACAGGTGAAGGATCTTGGTGGGTCGAGCCACTTCACTCTTGTACAGGAGCCGATTCATGACATCTTGGGAGTAGACTTTGAGCTGATAGTAAGGTGCCAAACGTTGACTGAACAACTCCCACGTGGCACTCCCTGTACAAGGACCTTCCGGGATCTTGAGTTGGCGAAATAAGCCCTTGGCAGCCTTCAACTGTGCTGGTCTACGATGGTCGCATAGGTATTTCCATTCCTTCGTCCATTCTTTAGACACAGGATCGGGTTTGTGTTCATGGTGACTGGCCACGACCAGGGCACGGGCAAAGCAGAGCATATCCTCATTCTTGATTTGAACGATGCATTGTTTCTTTTCCAGGAAAGTGTTTTAGCCGACGAGGTGCCTTGGCTGGCCGTGTCCCTGGCCTATACACTCAGGATCGACTAAATGCAGTAAGCCTATATCCATGGTCTCATCGATATGCATGTGTTCCCCCTGGAGGTCCTCCATGCGCTGTAACGTGATGGGGGTGGGTGAATCCAGGGCTGGATGATCCAGGATCAACCCCACGCGATCACCATCCTGGCCGTTCACATGGTTTCTCAAATCTGCTAACATTGCATCAA